CGATCAACTTAGAAGTAACTCTTTATGAGACGATCCCAAGGCTGATAGAACAGATGAAGACCTCATATTCACGGGAAGTAGAAGAGGCTTCTGTTGTAGAACTGAACAGAATAATCTCTGAAGAGGTGGTGAATTCCACCAGAGCCGTGGCTGCAGAAGGAGGGATATTTCCGTTAGTGAAGGTGCTTGAAAATGGGAGCGAGCGAGCTGTTGAAGCAGCTCTAGCAATACTATATAATTTGAGTATGGAGAGTGAGAATCATGCTGCAATTATAGCTGCAGGAAGTGTGCCAATTTTGAGAAGACTTGTATTAGCTCAAGGGCCACATTGGATGCGAGCTCTGAGACTGCTTAGGACATTACCTACATAACCAACTCAGCTATATGCTTTTTACCAGTTGTAAAATAAAACGATATATGAAATCCTGTATTATTAGTCTTCAACCTATTTTTTTTCTAGCCAAAAACAAGCAATTAATATACAGAGATAAATGTACTTTGGTCCTGTGGACATTATAATTTCTTTCCAACTGCACAACTAGTTTTGACATTGTAAGAATTGCTGTTAGTTGTTGATTATATTTTATAAAACAAGGTAGTAAGAATTAAGTTAATTATATCTCAATTTCATCTTTGACCAAATGAAGAAAAAGAAAAGAGAGATTATTATTCTTTTTAGGGAAAAAGACAAATATACCCTTAAACTATCGTAAACGGTACACTTATAATATTAAGACATGAGTGTCTTTACGCATTTCTATCATTTATACTAATGGACATACATGTGTCCTAATCCTGTGCATCTATCCGAAATTCTTAAAGAAAAAAGAAACATTTCTAAAAGAAGCACTTTTGATAAATAAAGAGGTTACATGATTTTTTTCACTTTCAAATAAAATTATAAATGAAAAGAGTAAAATAAATTAAATCTTTACAACTCTAATCTCACTTATTGAAGATGAAAAACCACCTCTTCAAAGTGGCGAATCTTTAACCAACCCTTTTGTCAAAGTTTTCACATCACTACGGCTGGGAATGTTGTTGCGGTACCCATGTTCGGGTTCACGGGAGCATTAGTCTCCCTATTAGCTTGGGTCGTCATAGCTTGAGCCAACACTTGAAAAACGGCTGGAAAATCAGCATGAGTCACTTGTTCGGCCAAAGATTCAACTGAAACTTGAGGAACCTCGAGCTCCACATTGTCATTGACCGCGTTTCTTCTCACATAAGATCTTCAAGGGGCCATTTCCTGAAAAGGATCGAATACTATTTAGGAGAAGGATCTTTATAGGGATAGGCTCTATGGGACGACTTTAGAGTAATGAAAAAAGTGAAGTTTTCAAAATGCTTTGTAGCCTCCGATTCATATATGTGATGCGCTTCAAATTCATGAACAAGACTCTACTCAACGCGGTTTGTCAGACATTCTAGGACCTTTTCTAAAACATTGTGCTCTGATTACCAAGTTTGTCACAACCCAAAGTACACCTTAGATGTGACATGGTGTATAAGAACTCTGAGAGGCCCTACACAAGCCACTTGACATACATATAAACTATATAATAGATAAAAGCAAAGAGTTTCATCAATGAATAAAAGAGTTTGACTTTGTAAAGCAGAAATTTCATAGTCATGACAAGCCATCTAGTACATCAAAGAAAGTGGTCGGAACATAACAAGTACACCACGTACAACAGTCGAAAACTAAAATATAAGGAAACCAGAGTAAAGATGTTTTTGTCCTTAGAACATAAGGAGTCACCAACTCTACGAACTCCAAAAGATCACCAACTAGCCACAAACGGAGGGAGAGGAAGCGACACACCCTACATTGGTGAAATAATGTAGGCACAAGTTTGCATTAGTACATGGAAGTACATTCCATGTACTAAGTACGATGGATATACATAAAATATAAAATAATAATAAGGGGACATAATTGAAAACATGAATTGCATTACCAAGCTAATCATCATAAAAGCCTTTAATGAAACATCATAAAACTTGAACATAGTCAATGCATCATAAATATAAGGAAAACTTCATAAAATATTTGAAATTAACTTAGTTCGTCTTGTGGGATATGCATTTCAATCGATATAGGCCATGTGAGCTATAACATAGAATCTGGTGTCTTGCTCCCACATCAAAAAAATATGTCCTCACTTGCCAAGGCAAGGACCTTAACTTCTAGCTTAGGTGGATCCACTAGCTATGTCACTTAAGACAACCTACGGGAGTACGTAGTTAGGGATAAAGAGATTGCTACTAGAGACCCGTCCTCTACTAACGGGAGAGCCTCCATCTAAATATCCTCTCGGTGCTAAGTAAAAATCTCAATGGAATAGTCATAACCATACGCATATGATCATACATGAAAAATCACAATTAAGTTACCAACCCAAGCTTAAAACATCATAGAATAGCTCCTTAAACCGTGAATCATGCATAGGTGAGAAAACCTTTCACCATACCATGATCCCTTAATGTGAGAAAACCTTTGTCTTAAAGCAACCTAGATAATAATACAATCCTTTTCATAAACCATGCATATCTTTCATGAAAACATCAATCATAGTTTCATAACTTCTTTATAAATTCATACCCTTCTAGGGTTCATAGTCAATATCATTTATCATGCATGGGTTCATATGAAATTGATTGTAAAGCATGTAATTATGTCAAAACTATCATGATATGATCAAAAACAAATAATTGAATCCATGCAAACAAAATCCATGAGGAATTGAATGAACATCTAGCCAAATTAGAGAAATTAAATTGGAGAATAAGAGGAATCTTTGGGACTCAATGGGTGAATGAAACCCATTGATGAACTCTCTACATAGCTTGATCTTATAGACTAAAACAATGGTGAAAAAAGGATGATTGAATTGGAAACCCTAGCTCCTTCTTCCTTGCTCTTGAGAGAGAAAAGCTTGAGAGGATTTTGGGGATTTTGGGGGAATGAAATGGAATCGGTAGATTTAGGAGTAAATTCAGTTAAAGGGTCTCTTTTTATAGGTTAAAACGATGTGGTACATGTATTAGGTGCTTAGGAAAAGACCCAAATACCCTTATGAATTAACTGCCGGACCGAACTACAGGTTCAACCTACAGTCTGTAGAAAGTTCTCCGGACCGTATTGGTAAACCGGAGACTAAGTATTGGAACCTTAAAATTCATCCAACTTTGACGAGGCCTTTCTACGGTCCGTAAAACATCCTATGGTCTGTAGACCCAAACCATAGAACTCAACTTTACCCCCAAAATTTCCACTAAGCTTGAAGTTCTTCTATGAAACCCATCAATGGTTTGTAGAACATCCCACGACCTGTCTTGGTCAATGGTAGATTAAGTTAGTGGGACTTGAAATTTCCCATAACTTGACCCACTTCCTACGGATGCACTCTACTAGATTAAGTTACTGAGCCTTGAAATTTCCCATAACTTGAAAGCATATTGATGTTCTTCGTTCAAGAAACTAGATAGAGAAAAACCTAAGAACTTGTTCTAAACTGAGTGACAAACTAAAACTAACTAAAATTGTCGACTCTTTATAAAAACTACCTAACATGTCTATTTGTAATGGTCCATGAAGTTGAAATCTTAAAAATATCAAATTTACACACAACTTTAGGTAAAACATGCATAACCCATAACTTTTTTGCCCCAAACTTCAATTGTTGAGAGGTTATGTTGTTGGAAACTTGACTTAGAGATCTTTAAGCCGATAGGTAGTAGGACCTCTAAATCCTTATATATTGAGAGATATACTCGTTTCAAGTTATACATATACCAAATTATTGAGATGTATTGTTGTAATGAAATCTTCAACTTGAATTTTTATTTCAAGACTTCCTTTGGCTTCTAACTTTGGTCCAATACTTCGAACACCTTCATACATCACTCCTTTGATACAACCAACCATTTACATCCTCACTCTCCCAATATCTCAGCGACAGGTGATGTATAACGATAAGGTTAAACTCGTAAGTATTTGGCGTCCTAATTTAAACACTCTGAACGTGAGAGGTGTTACAAATTTGGTGGGTTTAATACCCAACTCTTTGTATCTTGAGATATACTTGTTCAAAGTTAAACCTTTTATACAGCTCATTAAGATGAATTGTTCGTATAGTCTCTTATAAGTTAACTTGTACCAAAACTTTTGTAACTCCTTAAACCTTGGCTTAACAATTCATTGTAATTTGTGAATATCATACAAAATAGTGCAAACGGATCGAATATGTGTGTAGAATCACAATTCTCAACGCATTCTCTTCAAAACTCTATTAGAATTGATAATTTTACTAGAGGTACAAGTTTAATATATGTTACATATTACAATTCTGCTTCTCCTTTTTTTTTTCCAGTATTAGATGCTAGTAGTTGAGTTTTTGAATTTATTATTCAGTTGGTAAGCAGTTTATGATAATATATTTGCAAAAAAAAATCTGTCCACTTTTAATTGTGATGGTTTCCTCTTTTAGAGTCAAACTATAAGAACTTTGACTAACATTTTTAAGATATATTTTTTCATTATATTGATATACAAAAAATTGCAATTTATAGTACTTTATTCATATAGTTTTTGAATATCTATTTTTTCCGTTTAAAATATGAATTAATGTGATCTAATTTAATTTTGAAAATTAGTCAAATTGACTTTCAAAAAGTGCAACATGCAGTTTTTAAAATGAGAAAATAAATAAATAAAATAATATAAACCGTATTTACAAAAAAATACAAATAAAACACAATTTATGTATATTATTATATTTTTTCTAAAAAATAAAACAAAAAACAACTAAGCTACGCACTTCTTTTGTTCAAGTAGTGTCACTTATAATATATAGAGACCCTCTAAGTTTGCTTTCGTTTCTTAACCGTATGTACCTATTTAGCAATTTTTTCAGACAAAACAATGTCATGCGTGACACCCCTCCCCCGTTCCTAATTCCACCCCTAGCAACATGCAAAATAAAAATGTACCGAGGGAGTATGAAAGAAAGTAATGTAAGTTGAATATGTAAGGGGATATATATTGTTTACAAAAGCAAGTCATCAAGAAATGGTAGGTTGAGGATCCCAGAAGCAAGAAGAAATGCAATAATCCACATTGGTAGAATCCATTGAAAGACAGCAACTAAAATCTGTTTTCCTGTGACAAAATATTTATTAAAATATATTAGTATATACTACAAGGAAGTAAATAAAAGAAAAGTAATTGAATAATTACCAGTAGAGGCAGATGTGTTTTCAGTTTTATGAATAAGCCATTCACCAGTTTGTCTTAGCTTCTTCTCAACATCCCCTTCATTCTCCCCAACAGAATTGGACAAAATTGAATCAAACAATGTTTTATTCTCCTTTGCACTCCTTAATAAATTAAACCAAAAAAGAAAAAGTTGAGATGGTAATATCAGATAGAAGTGGCAAAATCAAACTCAACCTGTACAACCCGATCCAATCCATTTAGGTTTGAGTTGATTATTGATCTGTCCATTTATTAGCTCAACGTATCTCAACCTAACACATTTCAACCCATTAAAAATTGGATTGATATGTAATCCAAATTGATTTTTGATAAAATCTTGTCAAAATATTTTTTAATTTTCTTTTTTGATTTTATATGTTATATGTAGTTAATAATGAATTTTTTTTATTAGATACTAAAAACTTATAAAATAACAAATAAAACTATTAAAACCTAGGAAAAATTGAGTGAATTGGGTTATGACCCATTATTAACTTGTCACCTAATCTGTTTTAACCCAATCCATTTTGGCCACAATAGATTTGGGTTGGGTTGAGTCTTAACTCGTTTATTGTCTTAATTCATTTTGACCTGTCCAAATTTTACTCAACCCGCCCAATTGCCAGTAAAAGAAGGGATACGTACCTGCTGGTATCTCTATCTTTAAAAATGCCAGCACCAATGGCTCTTTCAATCTCTGCAACTGACAGTTTCCTTTCAACTCTTGTTTGGCTTTTGAGAAATGGAGGTTTTAACTTAGGGTCAGTAGGTGGTAGAGATGAAGATGCAAAAATTGTGGACATGGACATACACATACACTTTACTCCAACCATTTTAGATTATGGTTAACCTTATCTTCTTACAGATATAACTTTCTTTTTGGGATGACACACCTTTTGTTTTTTCAAATAACTTATATATCATCGTATATTATTAAAAACTAGGAAAATTATATATCATCATATTTAAAGTGAACTTTTTATAATTAAGTAGAAATAAAAAGACAAATTTTATTTTGATTAGAGTCCAGATTTGTGTTTCCTCTTAAATAAAATAATTAAGGAAAAAAATAAATCTTCACATTAAGTTGACATCAGAGAAAACAATCAATTTTTTTTTGAAAAAATAAATATTGACATTATAATGTTATGACTTTTTTAAAAGTCAAAAATCGAATTACTAGATTTATAGTTTTAATACAATATCATGTCTACTTCCTATTAAAGTTAATTCAAACACTATATCATTCATTTATTAAAGTAATAAATTATTATTAAAAATTAGTCGAAGAACTAATAAATAGGCAATCTATAAGTGTTCACGAATTTTAATCAATTTCATGCGGATAAAGAAATCGTGAATACCTTAATTATGATAATTTATTGAAAATTCTACTTCTAATCATTTCAAATTGTTATATTTCATTTTTTTTTAAAAAAAACTAAAATTCGTAACCTAATGTAATCTAAAAAGAGAAAATAGATCTTATTTTCCATTTCAAAAATAAAATAAAATGAATTCATCTAATTAATCATTTTCTTTAAATTGGACGCAATTCAAAATTTTATTTATTTTATAGAAGTACAAAAAAATACTCAAAAATTAAGGAATAAAGAAAAAGGAAAAAGGGTAAAAAAAAATAGAGGAGAAAGAAGAAGCAAGTTACTTCTTCCAAAAGGTAACAATCAACCTAACAAATATTAATTTTTGTAAAGATAGTTTAGATTAAATCTAGGGGTGTGGAGGTTTGCATTGATGTTAACTAGGCATACAATTGCTTGCTCAATAAAGCCTAAGAACCATAGATAAGTTGGGTAATTATTAGTAACACTAATCTTCTTTCGATCTCATAGCATTAGTTCATAGAATATCCTTTATGTCTCATCTATGTAATTCACAAATCAACCCATTTCCTTGATTTTGCAACTAGAATCAATTAAGTTTCACACATTGAGTTAATTATCCATTCCTATTGGTCTCTTTCAAGCACCAATTTGAGATCTAGAGTAGGATTAATTTGGCCACCTTAAATTAAGTTCATGCTAAACAATTCAAATTCATGATTGAAAAAAAATAAAATAGAGCAAGGGAAAAGACCCACTAATTTAAATCAACACCCAACCCCATAATTTACACCCCTAGAACTTGGGATTTTAGCTACACATCATAAAAGACAAAGAAATTATACCTATGAAGTTAGCAGCTATCACTGTATTGAAATTGAACAATAATCTTAAGCACTCACTTCGTTTTCAACCCTTAAATGTCGATTATAAGGTTAACCAAAACCTCAAAACTAAGAACAAAACTGAATATTCTCTATTTCAGTGTCTAATGAGTAAAAATTGATCAAAAATCCACTTTCTCTCTCTTCCAATTTATTTATACTTTCTCCAAAATTTATTTCAGTTCACCCTTCACTGGCTTAAGGCTTTAGGTGTTTGAACTTCAATGGGCGGACTTGATGGAATACGCCTTTTATGATCGGCGAGTAGCCGAATTTCACCTTGTTCACCTAATTTAACCTTCATTTTCACTCAGCAATCTGTCACTTTCGGCGATGAGTTTGGGTTCGCCTTTATTAATTCGGTGAATCACCGATGTGACCTCTCTTCGCTAATCTTCCTTGATATTGGACATCAAATACTGTCATTTTCGGTGATATTCAGCCCATTGGGTGATTCACTCTTTTGTTTAGGCGGTCATCAGTTTGGAGATTTCTACTCTTTTCAGTGTTTTGGCCTCTTTTCTCATTCATTCATTCATCGTTGCATTGTCCTTTAGCCTCCATAGCTGCAAATCATCAAGATATCATCAAAATAGGACACAATTAGACATTGAGTACTCTAATTGTTGAACTAAAAAACCTCAAATGAGTGCAAATCTACCACTCATAACCCAAAAAGTCATAAATGACTTGGACTCGCTATAGAAAAACTCTAAAAGCATAAAAGAAAGTAATAAAGAGGAAATGACGTGGAGGGTAATTACATAAGATATGTTCCAATTTATATTTTCACTATGTTTTGGCTCTGCCTGTGTGTTGAATTTATGCTTCAAAAGTTACATCATTCATGTGAATCCAATATTGTTATATTTGTTAGTGAGTAATAAGTATTCATTCATCCTTAATTAGAGATTTTAGATTCGGACTCTGCTACAAAATTAACTTTTCAATCAAGTAGTATTTTGTATTTCATTGTTTTTTTTTTTTAAAAAAGTTTTTAATTTCCTAAGACCAATTCTTATAAATGATCGAAGAAAAAACAAAGATAAAAAAAATGGCCACAGGCCCAATCTAACACACCAAAAAGCCCTTAGGTTTTCTAAAACTAGCCTATATATATCAAGTGTAAGGGAGTACTCAATACTGTTTCTCCTAATCCGCCTCCTCGGCAACAAGATGTTGGTGCGTGGTCGGAGGAACTCACAATAGTTCTGGCTCCTCTTCTGGGTAATTTCCAAGCTCGATCCCTTGTTTAGATGGTTGATGATATGTCTATCATCTTTAATGTTACCTGATATATCTCTTTTTTTCTTCTGTCTTCCCTTTTTTCCTTTGATGACCTGATTCACGATGTCTTTTTGTAGGTTGTCGAGGTTTATCCCTAAGGGACTGAAGAACAAGGTCTGGCGTGCGTAGCTCTTGAATCTTTGGTAATCTACAAATCTTATTAAATTTTCATTTTTATTGGAACTCTACTAAAAAATTTTAAAAAGAGAAAAATAAGTTTGCTTTATATTATGAACTTGATTAAATCCATTATGTTATTCTTACATTTTATATTTAATAATATGAAATGTCGATCTATATAATTTTCAATATCATCATTATACATTGAACTTAAAAAGGAGACGAATCAAGTCTATTGTTAAATTGATTTTAAAGCATGTCAATCAAATTTATTGGCATACTTTTTTTTATCCCGCTTGAATGATTGTTATGGATGAACATATAGAAACAAAGTACTTTGATTGGGTCACGATATTAATATAAAAAATCCTTATAAAATCAAGGATAATCTCTTGTGAATATTTTATAAGAGAAAAAAGAAAGTCAAACATGTAATTGGAGTAGAGTTAATATCTCAAAAGGTCATTCAACTTTGAGAATTTATCTAGCAAAGTCATTGAACTTTGTTTTGTATCAATAAAATCACTAAACTTAGACATTTCTATCAATAAAATCACTCAATCAAATTTATTATTAAATAAAATATTGACATAGCAAAATAAATTACTTGTATATTTTTATATCAGGTAAACACGGACCCACAAATAGATAAGATTAAAGAAAACTTATTAAAAAAATTCGGACAGACTTAATCACGAAAACAAATATTTTTTTTTATGATATTGTTGTATAGTTTATGTCTTGATTTAATAAATAAATGAAAAAAATTCTTAGTGAAACATATTTTGGTATTACTGTAATACCATAATATTTAGTTTGCCTCCTTAATAAAAAAATGAGTACAAGTACTTCAGCAAAACAACAAATTAAATCCAAAACAGGAAGAAAAACAATAAACAAATTTCAAAATAGAACAGGTTAGTATTATTACTAATTAAGTTCTTCAACGTGTAATTTATTTAGATGTTTCTTGCTATATATAATATGTAAAGATCTACTTTTCCTTCGTAATTCCACTGTTTGCTAACGTTAGATTTGTTTGAGCTTGAATAAATTAATTTTCAAAATTGTTGATAAATAAGTTTTGAAATTTGAAATCGTTTTCGGACATACATTTTAGTTGTTTTTCTTAAAAATAAATAAATTGTGAGAGGAAGTGAAAAGTTCTTAATGACATTTGTTTAATTTTATTTATTTGTGGGATTCATATTTACATGATATAAAAATAATAATTTATTTTGCTATGCCAATACTTTTTTTAGTGATAAATTTGATTGAGTGATTTTATTGATAGAAATGTCTAAGTTTAGTGATTTTAATGATACAAAAGAAAGTTCAATGACTTTAATAGATAAATTCTGAAAGTTGAGTGATCTTTTGAGATATTAACTCAATTGGAGTAGTCTAATCACATTTTAAATATTTGCTTAAAGATTCACTCAATCATTTTTTTTAGAAAATCTAGCATTAAACATTTCACAACACACAAACACACACACTCACAACCAAAATTTAAAAGACGAAATTGCCCAGAGAAAATTATTAAATATTTTTCCCTTTTAAAAACTAAATCATATAATAATAATAATAATAATAATAATAATAATAATAATAATGATGATGATGATATATAATGTAAGCATAATCATATATATATATATATATATAACTAAAAGTGGGAAGATCTTAACCTCAAAGTTGGATTACTATTTTACCCCTACAATATATATATTATATTTAATTTTTAATTAATTATATAAAAATTTAAAATTTAATTAGATTTTTTTTATAAAATTTTAATTTATTGTAGGGGTAAAATAGTAATCCAACTTTGAGGTTAAGATCTTCCCACTTTTAGTTATATATATATATATATATATGATTATGCTTACATTATATATCATCATCATCATTATTATTATTATTATTATTATTATTATTATTATTATTATTATTATTATTATTATTATTATTATTATTATTATTATTATTATTATTATTATTATTATTATTATTATTATTATTATTATTATTATTATTATTATTATTATTATTATTATTATTATTATTATTATTATTATTATTATTATTATTATTATTATTATTATTATTATTATTATTATTATTATTATTATTATTATTATTATTATTATTATTATTATTATTATTATTATTATTATTATTATTATTATTATTATTATTATTATTATTATTATTATTATTATTATTATTATTATTATTATTATTATTATTATTATTATTATTA